AAAAAAAGTTGCTGATTTAATGTGTTCAGAGTGTGTATGAATGTTTTTATTGTAAAATTATTTATTGCAATATTTTAGCAACCCCCCCCCCCACCCCCAGTTTGGGAAACTCTGGCATAAAATGAGAGAGGCAGATAGACAGGTAGCTTATATATATATTTCTATTTTAGAGCTGACGGGACAGATTTCAAAGAAAATTGCATACATGTCATTCACCGAAAATATAAATTTGCAAAAAAAATGGTATTGATGATGACTTTTTATTATTATTATTATTATTATTTGTGTTAATATAAGTCACTTTTGACAAGCCCTTGTTGATTTCTGATCTTGCTGTCAGTCTCCTACCATCAAATAAAGAAAAAGAAATAAGATTTATACCACAGCATTATTTTCAAATCCCATGGTATTTATATACTACAGTATTCATTACGTGGTACTTCAAAGAATACGAGTATCGTGGCACCAGGGTAGCATGTGTTCAGGCTGATAAGAATGTGAATGTGTTCAATCAGACAGCAGACAGTGATTTTCACACATGTGATCGTGGTCTTTATTTGTCAGGCAGATGTTAACACTTGATGATGCAATACATTCAAACATCAAACAGTGCTCTAGCAACGTGGACTTCACTGCATACGGCGCTTCTTTCTGAGAACTTCAGAGAGAGAGAGAGAGAGAGAGAATGTGATTTGAAGCGGAACACTATTGCAACACGATGGGGTGACAGCGGGGCCGCCGCTCGCAACCGGCGACAGGAGCGAAAGGACATACAACAGCAAAACAAAATGCCACTGCTTCTTACACGCTCCTATGATTAACATTGATTTCTGTAAAATAACAAAGGGTGACATTTTTCAAACAAAGCGTTGACAGAACAAAGTGGTGCAGCCCAGAGAATAAAAGTGTCGAGGACAGCGCTCACAGGACAGACGGCCCGTCTAAAGCGTGACCTTTAAACACTGCCGCTTTTTGGATGTTTAAATGGCAGCCATGGCCTCAGACTCTTTGGGGCGGTTGAGGACCACATGTTCCAGCTGTCCAGAGTCTGATATGTCGTAGCTGGTCTTGTACTTGGCCAAGATCTTCATGAGTGGACGTAACTTCAGCCACCACTGTTCCTTAGGGATTCTGTGACTGAACACACAATATAGAAGGTCCGATATTATTACAGATACATAATATTTGATCCTGTCTTTAGAATATATGTAAGAACTGTAGTGTGTACATACACAAAGTCAGTCTCATCTCTGAGCTGAACCACAGGCTGGAAGACCAACGCACGACGCCGCATGCCCAGCAAACAGGCCGAGTCTTCTGTGTTAGCAAACACTCTCCCTACACAGCACACACAGGTTCAACACACAGTCACAAAACTGCCAATAAATAAATAAATGAAAATAAAATAAAATATACAAGTGAAGAGTGGATTTCCACTCTTCATTTTTTCATCATAAATCGGGAAAAAAAATCCAAATTACATTTATATGACCTAGTATAATAGTAATAATAGTATTTATAGCATATTCTAGCAATTATAGATAACATATAGGAATATTTACAATAGTAAACTGGCAGTAGAAGTGGAAACCCACAGATCAAAAAATTTTTTTGAAATTATATGTATGTAGCCTAGTACATTAATAGTTAATATTTGTAGTATATTATGGTAATTATATATTGGAACAATTACAAGAGTGAACTGGCCTATTGAAATAAATAAATAAACACAATACAATAGAAATATAGAAATATAGACGAAATCCACAATTAAAGAAAATGTATGAATAATTCATATTTATGTATTTGCAATTACACAAGCTACACCACAAAAATGCGGTCACCAAATCAGACTGAGTAAAATACAAATGTTTTACCTTCATCTTTATTCATCCACAGG